GTAAAATAATGTACATTCAGTACAAAAATAACGTACATTCAGTACAAAAATAATGTACATTGTATCCAGGGGATGTACATTATTTTTGTACTGCGTGTACATTATATTGTAGAATGTACATACAGTACAAAAATAATGTACATTTAGTATATTAAAAGTGTACTTCTAAAAAAAAACGTGTACTTTTTGTTATGGTCCACATAACATTGTGTGGACCATAATTTGCCGATTACTAATTGTAGATTAGTTATATTTGGACTCTAATAATGTATTTAAGCTTTTAATTGTAAGTTATTTAATAAAAGTTTTAGTATGCACCAACAGTTTCGGATCATTGAACAAAGCGCGGTCAACACCACGGGAAAAAGGAGATCGCAACTCGCGGAGCAATTTCTTCGGTCGTTGGGAGCGAGTCTCCAATAGCAGGGAGAAAGTGCCGAAAAAGAAGTTGCGATGAAGGAGTATAAAAAGGAGGAAAATCTCCATCACCGATCATCAATTTTGCCCCAGACCAATTCAAGTGGAAGTGAACAAAGACTATCCGTTGGTGGCAGAAATTCCGATCGATAGGGCTGATTGCGGTGGCAGCGAGATTTGGGCGGGTGATTCATCTTTTGGCGCAGCAGTAGTGGCATAAGCAATTTTTTTACTTTCTTCATTTTCCTACCTTTTACCTTTTAATTTCACATCTTTGGAATTTGTGTTATGCTTCTAAAGCAAATCATGAATTAATTATGCTTAATTTATTGGTGATATTGTTCTGATGAAGAGTTTGTCTCCTGGTTGCGTTTCAAAGCTTTTGCACTGTAATCAATATTTATAATCTTTATCTAGAAGGTGTTTATGGTTAATTGTTGTTAATCTCAATTTCATTTAACATTTTAGTATGCTTTGCTAAATTTTTCTTCTAAGAATGATATTGTTATGAATGTTTTGTAATCATTTAAGCTTAACTTTGCCAATTGAATTATGTTTTATACTATGATCGTAAATGGTTATTAATTCATGTTCCTAGGCTTTCTCATCTTGATTGTTACTTGATTTCTTTGGTTCCTAACGATTCATTTATTTAGCTTCTTGAATCTCAATTTAATTATCTTGCACTTGAGTTGATTCTTATCTTTGATCTTCGTTTTTATCATTATTAAATTGTTAAGTCAGTTAATTTAATTTCAAGCTATTAAATTGCATTGTATCAATTCCCTGTGGGATCGACCCTTGCTTTTGCACACTATTAGTATAGTGATTCGTGCACTTGTGAGGACTATTTAAAATTGTCCATCAATTTTCACGCCGTTGCCGGGAAATTGTTTATTTTGCAATTTAATTTGCTGTGTTCTTTTTCTTTCCTTAATTCCTTGATTTTTTATTTTATTTTTCGCTATCCCTTCATTATTGTCATCGTTTTCATTTTTTATCTTGCATTTTATTTAATTCATTCGTCTATTTAAACATTGCTTTATATTTGTTTTTATTTCCCTGTTCCCTTTAATTGTTGAATTTTTTTTCCAATCTCTTTATTATTATTTTCATTTGTTTTCTTCCTTCAATTTAATCTTGCTCATTAATTTGATTCATTAGTCCATTCTTCTTTCTCAAAATTCTTTTTCATTCTTAATCAAACAAATATTTGAAAAATTTTACATTTTAATATGTACTCTTTTTTTTCAAACAAAAATAATCCTTTTAATAATGGTTTTTGACAGGTAAGTCCAATGAATGATTTTAATCAACAGCATGTGCATGACCCGTTTTATAATTCTTATAATTCGGGTTGGAAAAATCACTCTAATTTTTGGGATGATAATCAAAATGATTTTCAACCAAATCATCCTAGTGATTTTCAACCAAGTCATCCCAATTTTTATTGTGATTATAATCAAAATAATTCTCAATCAAGTCATCTTAATTTTTGGGATGATGATCAAAAAGATTTTCAACTTAGTCATCTTAATTTGTATTGGGGTAATAGTCAAAATGATTTTCATCCAGTTGAGTCACCCCAACTTAAAAAACCATTGTTGGAAGATATCCTGCAGGAGTACATACAGGCCACCAAGAAGCAACAAGAAGCAAATGATATACGGTTTCAAAAGCAACAAGAAGAACATGATCAATGGTTGCAGATGCAACAAGAAGCTTATGAGCCCCAAGAAGCAGGTGAACAAAGTGAGGCTTGCTTTAAAAGATTGGAAGCACATTTAGAGAAAATTGTAAAATTTGTGCAAGGGCATGTGCCAGGTAAGTTACCTAGTCAACTTGAGGATGCTCTGAATGATGAAAACAAGTTAACAGATAATATCACTTCTAAACAAACTGAAATGGTTGAAAAATTTAACTATGAAGCTAATGAAATTATTGTTGAAAATGAGCATCAATTGCATAAATCTGATAATCCTTTTGTGCCTCACAAACATTATTTGCCCCCAGTCCCTATTGATGTTTATACAAACAAATTGACCAACAATGTGCTTAATGAAACTGCTGAGGTTCCCATTTTTACATCTATGCATTTGTCTAAAAGATCTAACCAGTGTTTTGCAGTTAAGGGGTTGAATTTTTCAGAAGATGGTACGTTAGAGTTCGATAAACTCCCAAAAAAAAATCTTTTGAATGGCGTTGATAAATCGATTTCTTCCTGTTATTCAGAAATTGCAGGGCTAAATGAGAATTTCACATATAAAAAGCCTAATAAAGGAGGACTTTCTTTGTTTAATTTTCTTTCATCTCACAATATTGGGGACAATGTTGGAAATAAGTGTGGGGAAGGAGTTTCACCCACAAATCAGAAAAAAATAAAAAATTTCAAAATTTTTAATTTTCTTATGTACATTTTCTTAAACCTTCTTATTTTAGAATTCTAGCATTTGTTGAGATTAACCCTTATGAGTCTTTTAAATATTCGTTGATATAAATAATGCATATTTTTGTCAACTCTTAGTGAGTATATTGCATGTGGCTAGTTGTTAATTTCTTTATATTTTGAATAAATTTGTCAAAAAAAAAAAAAAACCTAAAAAATCAAAAAACAAAAAAATAAAAAAAATAAATAGAATTTGAAAATCACAAATACCATTATGTGTTCTATACAATTTCTTTAGTAGTTTATATGTATCTTTCACTTTATATTACCTTTTTCAAATTCTTAAATAATTTTTTAGTGCAATAAATTGTAGAGTAGTGTGTTGGTTCAAGGATCATCTTTGTGGCATAAGTGAGGTGAAAAATCTTTAAAAAAAAGATTTAAAAAATATACTTAAAAATAAATGAGAGTGTTTTATTTATTAATTATATTTTATTTGCTTTAATCTCAGAGATTCTACTCCGCTGAATCAGCCACCTACACATGTACCATAAATAAATAAGTGTCGTGGTATGGTTTATGAGTACACACAAAATTGAAAACCCAAACAAGTCTGGCGTAAAATGGCAAGGTTTTTGGGGAAGTTCGCTTTGGAAAAAGTCAAAATAGTAAAATAATGAGTGAACTTTGGAAGAGACGAGTAATTGCATTTCAATTTTATTAAATGCCTTGATCCTGATTTCCTTCATGTTTTGCACCTGCACTGTGATAGAATATTTTTGAATTTGGTTTAGGTTGAATTTGGTGAAATTTTCATATTTTTGTATTGAGTTTTTGTATAGTTCATATAAGGGGTGTCAGCACACGAGCACACATTTTATATTTATTTTATTTGTTAAAGTTTTAAATTTCTAGTCGATTGTTTTATGCACTCTTTGAGTTGACACTAACCTTGCATTGAGATAAATAAATTTGGAAGCTTATTCGGGTAAAGCTCAGTTTAATGTTTGATTTTGTTTTTAATTTCTTTTATTCCCTTTTAATAATGCTTTTGCTTGAGGACAAGCAAATAAATAAGTGTGGGGAGATTTAATAAACATTATTTTTAGTATTATTTCAAATAATCTTTTCATAGTTAATTTGCAATAATTGACTAATTTATATCTATTTTTTTATTTATTTTTGCTATAAGTAATTTTTATTAATATTGTTTATTTTTAGGTTGTTTTACATATTAATTTATTTTTATTATTTAAATTCCGTGAGTCCAATAATTCATTGATCTTAATTTAATAATAATAATAATACTAATATTAGTTTTAGTAGTACTTGATTAGTAGGAGTTTAATAATTGTAGATTAGTTATATTTGGACTCTAATAATGTATTTAAGCTTTTAATTGTAAGTTATTTAATAGAAGTTTTAGTATGCGCCAACAACTTTGGATCATTGAACAAAGCGCGGTCAACACCACGTGAAAAAAGGAGATCGCAACTCGCGGAGCAATTTCTTCATTCGTTGGCGAGCAGTCTCCAATAGCAGGGAGAAAGTGCGAAAAAAGAAGTTGCGCTGAAGGAGTATAAAAAAGCAGGGAAATCTCCATCATCGATCATCAATTTTGCCCCGAACCAATTCCGATAGCAGTGAACAAAGACTCTCAGTTGGCGGTAGAAATTCCGGTTGGTACGGCTGATTGCGGTGGCGGCAAGCTCTGGGCGTGTGATTCATCTTTTGGCGCAGCAGTAGTGGCATAAGCAATTCTTTTACTTCCTTCATTTTCCTACCCTTTACCTTTTAATTTCACATCTTTGGAATCTGTGTTATGCTTCTAAAGCAAATCATGAATTAATTATGCTTAATTTATTGGTGATATTGTTCTGATGAAGAATTTTTCTCCTGGTTGCGTTTCAAAGCTTTTGCACTGTAATCAATATTTATAATCTTTATCTAGAAGGTGTTTAGGGTTAATTGTTGTTAATCTCAATTTCATTTAACATTTTAGTATGCTTTGCTAAATTGTTCTTCTAGGAATGTCGATGAAGTAAACTCAGCGAAATGGTTGAAGAGAAAAGGAGTGTGCCATTATGTTTTGAATGAAAATAAAGATACAAAGAACTAATTCAAGAGGAGAACCGGCCATTCATAATGGCAACGGTTATAATTGTTGGGGTAGGAGAAAGACAAAGATACCCCTCTACTATCCTTCATCTTCCAATACCCCCCCATAAGCTGGAGTGTGCAAACTTTGGACACCCATCTTAGACACAAAAACGTTGAACAGAGAAGAGGCTAGAGGTTTTGTAAAACCATCAGCAAGATGGTTGATGGAAGCAACCGAGAGTAACTTGATTAGTCCCTGAGCCACCCTTTCCCTTATTATATGACAATCGATCACGATGTGTTTGGTCCTCTCGTGAAAGAAAAAATTCTCTACTATTACTATAGCTGATTTACTATCATAGTAAACCGATGCAGGGCTGCTTATGTTTATACACAAATCCTGGAGTAAACTGGTTAGCCATTGTATTTCACACGCTGTCGTAGCAAGGGCGCGGTATTCTGCCTCGGATGAAGACTTGGATACGGTTGCTTGTTTCTTTGATCGCCATGAAACAAGAGAGGTGCCAAGAAAACTGCAGAATCCCGTTACAGACTTGCGTGTTTCAGTACATGATGCCCAATCAGAAGCAGAAAACCCTTGAGGTTGGGGGTACTATTCGATGTTGGGTAGAATAGGCCATGTCCTGGAGATGATTTTATATTGCAGAGTATGCGGTGAGAAGTAGCCATGTGTCTGTCCGTGGGGGCACTCACGACCTGGCTTAGAAGATGTACAGCATACGTAATGTCGGGCCTAGTGGCTGTAAGGTACAACAATCTTCCTATCAACCTCCGATAGCTGCTTGGATCGCTCAGAGGTGTACCATCATTACTGGATAAGAGAGAGCCTGGCATCATGGGAGTGTTTATTGGTTTGCAGTCAAGAAACCCTGTATCATTGAGTATATCAAGTGCATATTTCCTTTGGAAAATATTCAAACCATTGTCACTAATCTTTGCTTCCATGCCTAGAAAATAGCCTAGGGACCCCAAGTCCTTAATTTTAAAAGCTGCATTCAGTGAGTTCTTCAATTCTTGTATAAGAGCCATCATTCCACTTGCCACCAATATGTCATCAACATTGTTGTGTGTACCCCTTTGCGACCAACCTTGCCTTGTGTCATTCTATTTTGCCATCTGCCCTAAGCTTCGTCTTAAAAACCCATTTGCAGCCTATAGGAGACTTGCCAGTGGGTAACTCTGTCAGCTGCTGTGTATTGTTCTCTTGGAGAGCTGCTATTTTTGCTTCCATAGCATCCTTCCAACACTGATGTTTTATAGCTTGAGTATATGTGCGGGGTTCTGTGATAGAGGAGACAGCCAAGGTGAAAGCTCTATGTAGAGGTGAGAGGTTATCATCTGTCATGACTTTCGACTATGTGGAGAAGATCCCCTTCGAATAATGGATTCACAGTAATAATCTTGTAACTTGTTTGGCATACGATTACTCTATTTGAATGTCTAAGAGGATCATGAGGGATATCAATAACCAGTTCACCAGTGGCTTCTTCATTCGACATATCATAAGACGGTTGGCTTGTGGCTGTATCAACTGTCTCATTATAAGTGGAATTATGTGAGGGTGGACTGACAGAATTATGAAAATCTGCTCGATGGCTTTCATCATTTGCTTCTTGCTCAACTGCATGTCCAGCAAACTGCATATCACCATGCATGGACTGCACCCCATGTTCTTCATTTGTTATCAAAGAAATGTTTGGCAGATGGGGAATGGGAGCCTGTGACAATGGTTGTGGCTGCTCAGAGAAAGGGAACTGCAACTCATAAAAAGAGACATCACGAGATACAAAAATAGCTTTATCAAGCAAATCATATAATATATATCCCTTGGTATTCGCAGGTATGCCTATGAATATGTATTTCCTACCTCTAGGATCCATTTTTTTCCTTAGATGAGACAATGTAGAGGCAAAACAAAGGCACCCAAAAACTCTAAGAATCATGAGATCAGGTTCTTTTTTGTGTAGTCTGCAGTACGAGCTTGATCCTTTAATCACTGGTGAAGGGAGACGGTTGATTAAGTATACGACATGTGTTGGTCCCAAAAGAGGTAAGGTGAAAGTCTAGAGGGGGGGGGGGGTGAATAGACTTTCGAACTTTTTAGCACAGTACAACAATTGCTAAGGCAACAGAGAAACCAAGACTCTTAACTAGATTGTTAGAGTCTGGTGCGCAGCGGATATAATAAACGATACGGTGTGTGTGTAGATTGTGTCAAGATTATTCTCGTGAGAAGCAAGCAAGAGCAGTATGTAAAGAAAGCAGTAAAGAACACAAGGCAATTTATAGTGGTTCGGAGGTGGTGTAATCCTCCTACTCCACTTGCTCTTATCGTCCAAGAGCAATTCACTATATCCACCACTTCTTGGTTCCAAGATACAATGAATTCCGTGATCTAGTGCTTTGATCACCAAGCCCACACTAATCACGCCCAGTGCTACCAACACTCTGCTTCGGGTTTCACGTCGCCGCGCTACTTTCCCAGGATTTCATTACTCCGCGTTACTTTCCCCCCGTCTTCTACCCTCCGGTAGAAACGCTTCTTCCGTGATCTAGTGCTTTAATCACAAAGCCCGCACTAATCACGCCTAATGTCTTCCGACACTGCTACTTCGGATCTCACAACTCCGTGTGACAATCCAGGATTTCACAACTCCGTGTTACTTTCCTCCTTTCCCTTATTTTGCTCTAAAACAAGTTTTGCCTTGCTTCCAACTTTGAGACTCTGTAGATGATCTTCGATGATGCTCTTACTCTCTTGTAGTTGATGAAGATTTTAACACTCTTGAATATTTATTTTGTAAGCTCTGTATCACTCTGAGTGTTTATCTCACAAAGAATATATCAATTTAAGCTCTTGAGTTGGAAAGGTTTCTTTGAATTTCGTATGCTCTGTTTAGCTCTGTTCTTTTCGCTTCTTGCTATTTGCTTCTGCTTTCCACTGCTTCAATCTTCATCTTTTTATAGCTGGTAATGAGAATCCGTCCGTTGGAAAGAAACGTTCTCATTTTTGAATTTCATCTAGCTGTATAGCCTTTTCAGAGGATAAGATAATGTTGCAGATATGTCAGAGATTCTCTGCAAGTTGAGCTTGAGGTTTTAGCAAAAATGGCGTCCCAAAAATCTTCATCTGGTGTAGATCACGTCTCTTGGGATTTCTATCTTCAAAATATAATCTCCAATTTAATCCCTTACTAGTTAAGACTAGTATTTTTGCTTCTGCAACTTCTTCTTGTATTTTCCTCTGTACTTGACGTCTGGGTCTGTCTACTGCTTCCAGACTTCATCTTCTAAATTGACTTGGGAAATCTCTTCCCATGTAAACTTCATTCCTTACTATATTTGGAAGTGAAATCTCATCCCTTCCTTGATACTTCATCCCTTGAATTTGAAGCCCTTTGCAAATCTCATCCCACCAAATTGAAACTTCTGCCCCAAGGGTGAGATACGTGAACTTCATCCCTTCAAACTGCATCCCTATTTCAATTTTGAGATACTTCATCCCTTCAATTGGAATTGCATCCAAATTTCATCTTTAAGAACTTCATCCCTTCACTTTGGAAATCTCATCCCATAGTCAACTTGGAAATCTCATCCCATAGTCAACTTGGAAATCTCATCCCAATTGACTTAGCAAATTGCTTCCCTTCGGCCAAACCATAGCCCATACTTCATCTGATGGATTTAAACTTTGGATTCTTTAAAATATGTGGGATGTGAGATTCAAATCGCCCATACTTCATCTGATGGATTTAAACTTGGCTTCTTTAAAAAATATGTGAGATGTGTGATTCAAACCTATGACCTTGCATATAATATTTCAAGTGTCTACCAACTCGTCCATACAACCTATTAGTTATCATCTTGTTTCACTTGGTGTACTTCTTTCTTTATAGATGCTTGATCTTCAAGATAGCTTCATGCAAAATTCAAGTCACGTTCTTTCTTCTTTGGGATTTCTTGAGCGATTTCTTGAGGGATTTCTTCATTGATTTTTGAGAGATTTCTTCTTAGGATGATAGTCTTCATAACTTCTTCATACGCATACATCTTCCTCTTTTGTTTGCCATTTTCTCTAGGCAAATTCTTGATTTTAGGATTTATATCTTCTTCATCCATTTCCTCAACTAATGAATTCATTTTTCCCTTTCTTGGTCTATGACTCGACTAGTCTAACCAAAATAAAATTGGGGTTCTACGATTTACAATATGGCATATCAAAATCTATTACAATTTATTCATAACAATTTCCCTCCTTTTGATAATGCCATAACTTATACTCAAACATTGGCTTTAAGTCTTTGAAAAATAATTTCAATTTTTGCTCAATTTTATTTTGACAAAGCCAAGATGAGTTTCACAAAAATAATTTCTAGGGAAAATAAAACTTGTGAATTAATTCAGACAAGTCCTATACGCATCCTTGATTAATTTTTAATCAATTTTTATCTTTTTAATTTTGCATACGTTTAACAACTCTTGTCTTTTTAATTCACGAACTAATACATGATAACCAAAATAAATCAAAACAGACTTAGATCAGACCATGGGAAATATTTATTCATATTTGTCGATAGAGGAAATATTATTATAGCCAAAATCATTCTAAAATATAGATATTCAAAACACCATATTTTTGAGGAGTTCATATCTGATTACCTTCTGGGTTTCTTGACTCCTATGTCAACTTTCAATATGTCCTTGATGTGTTCTCTCATCTTGCAGATATCATTTTTGAACTTTTCACATTCAAACCTCTTTGTCACATTTCCAGCCATGTAGTGTCCAAAGGCATCTTTAATGTTGGTGCCCAGAAGAACTCCGGCTTCCCACCAAATTATGCATTCTTCAAAGCTTCTTTGGAATCCCAAACTTTCACCATTATTTTTGGTATGATCTCTAAGCTCGTACCACATCTCGGTTTGCTTCCTTTTTGCTTCTTCTTCCTTATTCTTGTCAGATATCCTTTGAGCTTGATCAGCTTTGGGCCATCTTTTCACCATACTTGGCACATTCTCGGATGTCCAAATTTTCTGCGGTGTTACGGTTCCTTTTGAACATTCGAACCAGCCTCGAGTTTCAGCAACTTTCGATGAGCTTGATCCAAGACTCGGATTTGCAAATTGAGCGAAACCAACTTGGGATTGTTGACCACGTCCTCGGCCACATCCTTTTGTTGGTGCGGCGGTCAAAACTGGCTGTTGTGGTTTACTTCCAAGGATGAATTGCTGTTGTTGTAAAGCCAGATGATTGAGAATTTCTTCCCCCCTTATGGCATTATCAATCAAAAAGCCAAGGGATTTGGAATCTTGTTCTTGATTGGCTTTAACAAGTTTGACACCATCATGTGTTTTGAGAGAAACATCTTGCAAATCAGATATTTTGTTAGCCATAGAGGATAATTCTACCTCAAGGTGATTTATCCTTGTCTCTTGGTCTTGTATGGCCTTTATTTGTCTCAAGTGTCTGTCATTGTTGATCTTCTCGGTAGCTTCTCGTTCCTTCTTCATGAGTTGGATTATCTCCAATAATCCTTCGGTGAGATCTCCTTTCAGATGTCTTTCGGCTCTGTCTATTCTTGTTTGTAGAGCGTTTTGATGTTCCAATAGCTCCTTCAAATTTGTTCGTGTGTCTTCAAAATGTTGCAAAGAGAGATGTCCTTGCTCGGTGAGAGTATTTCCAAGCTTTTGACACACAACATCACTTGTCTCTGTAACTTTTGCAAACAGTGATGTTAACAAATCTTCTTCATCTTCTTCTCGGCTTCGGCTTCCACTCATGTTCAGAGAGTGCAAAGATTTGAACAAATTTCTTTGTGAATCAGGTAGAATTGGGTTTTCAACAAGCTGCAAGTTTTCTTCTGGTGATTCGGCTTCTTGAAGTTGATTTCCAGTTTCTTCTTCAATAACCTCTGTTCTTGAAATAATCTCTGTGTTTAAATTGACTTCTTCCAGAGAGTTGTTTTGAAGTGACATCACAGAGTTGTTATCATGCACTGGCGCTTCATACAAACATTCCCCCCTCCCCAC